TTGAGACCCGATTGGTTTGCTAAAGAATTTTAATTTGATTTGGTTTAGGTATAATATATTTGAATATATTATATCTAATTTTTAGAGACCTAATTTAGTTTAGTAACAATTACGGTTTTGATAAAACAAGTCCAAGATTCAACCCCATATATATATATATATATATATGTGGCTTTGTTTTTCCGTAGATTTGAGAACGGCAGCTACACACACTTCAATTCGGTGGAATCAAATTTTTGGGTGAGTGAAAAGTGGAATTAATTCGGCTGGTTCTTTGCTTCGTTTTTCGATTTTTCTGAAGCCCTGTTAGTGTGCATAATTGGGTGTTTTGGTTCAGCTAATTTGGTTCATTATTTTGGGTTTTCTTCAACTCTGGTTTTGAAGACTTCTGTTCATCTATTTGGTGAGGTCTTTCCTCTTGTTTATTTATAATTATTTGAAATTCACCTAGGGGTGGTTTGTGAGACCATTCGTGTCTCATTTGTAATCGTTTGGAAACTATTTGGTTGATAGTGGAATTGGATTTCGATCCTGTGGAGGTACCTCACATTGAAGGAACCACGTAAAATTCTCGTGTTGCTTTTGATTTTATTTTTCAGTATTAGTTTGTATTCCCATTGATTGATTTACTTGTGAGGAATCACATATTTTCCCTAACAACTGGTATCAGAGCTTAAGGTTTATTTGGGTCTATTTATTTGTGTAAATCAATGGAGGGGAATGTGGGTCGTATGTCTAGCTTCAATGGAAGTAATTGGGTAACTTGAAAAACTAAAATGGAGGACCTATTATTTTGTAAAGATTTGTATGGGCCTATTGAGGGTAATAGTGGCAAACCTAATGATATGAAAGATGATGAATGGAAGAGGCTTAATCGAAAAGCCGTTGGTGTTATCCGTCAATGGATTGATGACAGTGTGTTTCATCATGTTGCTACTGAAACTTCAGCACATGATTTATGGAAAAAATTAAAAGTCCTTTATGATAGGAAGTCAGCCACAAATAAAACTTTTCTATTTTGTAAGTTGGTTAATTTAAAATATAAAGAGGGTAGCCCTATTCCAGAACATTTAAATGAAATAAAGAGTATTGTTAAACAACTTACTTCTATGAAAATTGTTTTTGATGATGAGTTGCAGGCTTTGATGCTACTTAGTTCTTTGTCCGAAAGTTGGGAGACTTTGGTTGTGACAGTTAGTAATTCGGCGCCCGATGGAGTTGTCACAATGGGCCAAGTCACTAGTAGCTTGTTAAATGAAGAAACTAGAAGAAAATCAGCGGGTTCCTCTCATTCAGAAGCATTTGTTGTGAGAGGTCGAAGCAAAACAAGAGGGAGGAGTAAAACTCCCCATGGTCGTGATCAAAGCCGTGACAAATCAAAAGATGGTTCTTTTTCAAAGAAAGACATTGAGTGCTATTATTTCCATGAGAAAGGGCACATGAAGCGAGAATGCCGAAAGCTCAAGAACAAGGAGAAAAGGCGTGACAAAAGTGTGGATAAGAAGCAAGAAGACACAACGGCAGTTACTACCAATGGTGATCTCATGGTCATTTGTGAAGATGATTGTATCAATTTTGTAGGCCAAGAGAGCAATTGAGTGATTGATTCCGGTGTTTCTTTTCATGTGACTTCTCGAGTTGATTTCTTCACTACCTACACCAAAGGAGATTATGGTTTTTTCTGAATGGGTAATGAAGGTTTGTCCAAGATTATTGGCATGGGTGATGTTTGCTTGGAAACAAATTTGGGTTGTAAGTTATTGCTTAAAGATGTGAGGCATGTTCCCGACATTCGCCTCAATTTGATCTCTACCGGGAAGTTAGATGATGAAGGCTTCAACAACAAATTTGGTGATGGAATATGGAAGCTCACAAAGGGTTCTTTGGTGGTGGCTAAGTGCAAGAAGACTCATACACTTTATTCGATGCAAGGAAAAATTTGTAAAGATGTTGTCAATGCATTTGAAGATGTTACTTCTACCGAATTGTGGCATAAGCGGCTTGGGTATATGAGTGAATAGGGGCTACAAGTTTTGTTCAAGAAAGAGCTTCTACCTGGTTTGAAAGGTACACATCTTAAAACTTGTGTTTATTGTTTGGCGGGTAAACAACATAGAGTTTCTTTTCAGAAAAATGTTGCTTCTAGAAAAGAAAATGTTTTGGAGTTGATTCATTCGGATGTTTGTGGTCCTTTGAAAGTTAGAACACATAGTGGTGCACTTTATTTTGTTACTTTCATTGATGATTATTCAAGGAAAGTTTGGGCTTTTATACTAAAAATTAAAGATTAAGTTCTAGAAGTATTTAAGTATTTTCAGGCCATGGTTGAAAGAGAAACATGACAGAAATTGAAGTGTATCCGATCAGACAATGGTGGTGAATACATTGGGCCATTTGATGAGTATTGTCGCAACCAAGGTATTCGGCACCAAAAGACAGTTAAGAAGACTCCTCAACAAAATGGCATTGCTGAGATGATGAACCGCACCATTGTGGAAAGAACAAGGTGTTTACTTTCACAAGCTAAATTACCAAGATCCTTTTGGGGTGAAGCAATGAGGACATCGGTTGACGTGATCAATTTGTCTCCTTCCTATCCTTTGAATGGTGATGTTCCAAAAAGAGTTTGGACCGGTAAAGATGTGTCTTAGGAGCACTTGAAAGCGTTTGGTTGCCGAGCTTTTGTTCACATTTCAAAGGATAAGAGGTCCAAACTTGATAGTAAGTCAAGACAATGTATTTTTCTTGGCTATGGATATGATGAATTTGGTTATAGATTGTGAGATCTGATCGACAAGAAAGTCATTTGAAGCCGTGATGTTATATTTCTTGAAGACCAAACAATTGAAGATTTTGGCAAAGGTGATCAACCGGAGCCAAAAAGTAGTGATCTCATTAACATGGATCCATATCCTTCATCTTCGATAGATGATGAAAATGGGGGAGATGTGCAACCACCTATTGAAGATGCAGAGGATGATACTAATCCTAATGAACTTGAGCCAGAAATTGAGGAAGAGCATCCAACTCAAGAACTGCCACCACAACTTGAGTTGAGGAAATCTACAAGGGACCGACAACCTTCAAGAAAGTATCCTCCCAATGAATTTGTATTGATTTTCGATCAAGGGAAGCCTGAGAGCTACCAAGAAGCAATTGAGCATGCAAAGAAAGATGATTGGAAAAAGGTCATGGAAGAGGAGATGAATTCCTTACTTGAAAATCACACTTATAATTTAGTGAAGTTGCCTAAGGGGAGGAAAATTTTGAAAAATAAGTAGGCCTTCAAATTGAAGAATGATCGCAAGAATCTAAGGTACAAAGCACGCCTTATTGTGAAAGGCTTTGGGCAAAAGAAAGGTATTGATTTTGATGAAATTTTCTCGCCAGTTGTGAAGATGTCTTCCATTCGGGTTGTACTTGGCATGGCTGTAAGTATGAACCTTGAAGTTGAATAGCTTGATGTGAAGACCGCATTTCTTCATGGTGACCTTGAAGAAGAAATTTACATGGAGCAACCAGAAGGTTTTGTAAAGAAAGGGAAAAAGAAATTTGTTTGTAAATTAAAGAAAAGTTTGTATGGCCTCAAGCAAGCCCTGCGGCAATGGTACAAAAAAATTTGACTCTTTCATGATGAATAATGGTTTTTCTAAAACCACTTTGGACCATTGTGTGTTTGTGAAAAATTTCCTGGATGGTAAATTTATTATTCTTTTACTTTATGTTGATGACATGTTAATTGTGGGTCAAGATTCTACCATGATTAACAGTTTGAAATTGGAGTTTAGCAAGTCTTTTGCTATGAAAGATTTGGGACCGACAAAGCAAATACTTGGTATGAAAATTGTTCGTGATCGCAAAGAAGGGCTGATTTGGTTGTCTCAAGAAAGCTACATTGAGAAAGTTCTTGAGAGGTTCAATATAGATAAACCGAAGCCGGTTGGTTGTCCACTTGCGGGTCACTTCAAACTTAGTTCGAATCAATGTTCAACAAGTGAGAAAGACAAAGAAGAGATGTTGAAAATTTCTTATGCTTCAGTAGTTGGTTCTTTAATGTACGCCATGGTTTGCACAAGGCCGGATATTGCTCACGCTGTTAGTGTGGTGAGTCAGTTTCTCTCTAATCCGGGTAAAGAACATTGGGCAACGGTAAAATGGATTCTAAGATATCTTCGAGGGATTTCGAAGGTGTGTTTGTGTTTTGGAGATGGTAAGCCGATGCTTGATGGGTTCATAGATTCTGACATGACCGGTGATGTTGATTCTAAAAAATCTACTTTGGGGTATTTGATGACTTTTGCAGGGGGAGCTGTGGCATGGCAATCTAAATTACAAAAATGTGTTGCTCTCTCAACTACCGAAGCTGAATTTATTGCCACTACGGAAGCTTGCAAAGAAGAGTTATGGTTGAAGAAATTTTTGCAAGAGTTGGGTTTGAAGCAAGAAAAGTGTGTACTTTATTGTGATAGTCAAAGTGCTATTCATTTGAGTAAAAATTTTACTTTTCATTCGAGATCGAAACATATTGATGTAAGATACCATTGGATTCGTGATGTGTTATATTCAAAATTGTTGCAACTCGAAAAGGTTCACACATATGATAATATTTCGAATATGTTGACTAAGACTTTGTCGAGGGACAAACATTTAAAGTGTCGAACTTTGGGGGGTATGGTTGATGTCTTCACCTAAGTCGATAGGGGGAGAATTGTTGGGGTATATCTCCTTATTGGAGTTTGAGACCCAATTGGTTTGTTAAATAATTTTAATTTGGTTTGGTTTAGGTATAATATATTTGAATATATTATATTTAATTTTTAGAGACCTAATTCAGTTTAGTAACAATTAGGGTTTTGATAAAACAAGTCCAAGATTCAACCCCATATATATATATATATATATGGCTTTGTTTTTCCGTAGATTTGAGAACGGCTGCTACACACACTTCAATTCGGTGGAATCAAATTTTTGGGTGAGTGAAAAGTGGAATTAATTACACTTCAGTAAGGAGCACCTGCAATGTTAGACTGTAGGACACTTCTGTTCAACCCAGATTTATTTAGAGCTAACTCTGCAGCCTATAACCAGAGACAGAATTACAATGTATGCACAAAAACACATGAGACCTGGCCAACTCTGAACTGCCATGACCACCAATCATACCAATAGCCAACCAACCAAACAAACACTTTTTCACTCAACCTCCATTTGTAATGCAGAACTTCACCTGTGGCAGGTTGAGAACCAAGTCATTAATAGAAAACTCCACCTGGGTTGGTGAGGCTTTGAGCCACATAGCTACACGAACCTTCACTATTTCACATAGGTCTTCCAAGTTTGGTTGAGAGCCATTAAAGATGCAGTCATTTCGATGCTTCCATGTAGACCACAGGACAACCAGAGGAAGAACCTTCCAAATTTTCTTTTCCAACTTCTTCAATCTACAACCATCCCACCAATTCAACAGTCCATTCACTGAACCTGGTAGCACCCATTGCAAACCCCACCATCGGACAATGTTGGACCAAAGCAACCAAACGAAAGGACAGTACAGTAGTATATGTTCCACAGTTTCAATCTCATTGTGGCAGAAAACACAATCCAGATTTACATTCCCTGTTAGAATACCAATTCTATGAAGAAAACTCGAAGTTTTAATCTTACCCAGCCAAGCCATCCACCCAAAACATTGAACTTTTGGAGGAGCGAAATTATTCCAAATTGAAGCAGCCACAGGTAGTATAGGTCCCAAATGTGATTCACTCCAAAAATATACTGAGGAGACAGAGAAAGTATTAGATGGGTCTGCACCCCATATGAGCTCATCAGATCTGGAACTGCACAGAATTGGTGCAGAATTCAGCAAATGAAAAAGTCGGTTAGCTTCTTCCTCCTCCCATACCAACAGAGGTCTTCTGAAGTCCATGTTCCAGCCACCATTCTCTTCCCTTTTTTCGAAAAACACCCTTACCACACCATTTTTATCTTTAGATAAGGAAAAGAGCCTTGGGAATTCCTCCATTAGGCATACATTTCGCACCCACTTGTCTCTCCAAAATCGAGCTCTCCTCCCATCCCCCAGAACAATCTGAGCATTAGAAATATAAAAGTGGTGCAGCTCTGGATTGGACATTACAGCTTGAATAATATCCGACCAGATCTTGGATTCTCTGCCTATTAACTGTGGTGTCCATCTTCCATCCAATGACACATACTTGGAGCAGATCACTTCCTTCCAAAGGGATTTATTCTCTACACCAAATGTCCACCACCATTTCAGCAAGAGACATTGATTGAAACTTTTTATCCTCCTCAACCCTAACCCACCTAAATTCTTATTTTTAGAGACCACCTCCCATCGGACCATATGTATTTTCCTTCTAAGATCGGATCCACCCCAAAGAAATGCAGATTGTATTCTCTCAATTTCCTTTGCCACTCCAGCAGGGATTCTAAACAGTGAAAGATAGTAGATGGGCAGATTAGACATAACCGATTTAATAAGAGTTAAGCGCCCAGCAAAAGATAACAACCTTCTCTTCCATGTGGACAATTTTTGTTTGAACTTATCAAGAACAGGTTTCCAAGTACTCCTCCTGCTGGGATTAGCCCCCAAAGGAAGCCCCAAGTATTTTAGAGGCAATTTATGGTGGCAACAATTTAAGGAAGAAGCAAACTCCTGCATCGAACCGTCATCTACCCCAATCCCACAGATAACACTCTTGTGATAGTTGATTCTCAGACCTGATACAATCTCAAAGCATCTTAGAATTCTTTTAATGTTGCCCACCTCCTCTTTATCCGCATTACAGAACAAAATCGTATCATCCGCAAATTGCAAGTGCGTGATTCTTAACCCACTAGAGCCCACCACCGCCCCTTGAATTAGGCCCAGCTGTCTGGCTCTGCTCAGCAAAATATTAAGACCTTCTGCTACAATGTTGAAGAGGAATGGTGACAATGGGTCTTCTTGCCTCAAGCCTCGTTGTGGACGAAACTCAGATGTTGGTGACCCGTTCACCAAAACGGATATCTTAGCTGAGGAGACACACGTTTTCATCCATTGTACCCAACGCGATCCAAAACCAAACTTTGCTAACATGTCGAATAAAAACTCCCAATTAATAGAATCATAAGCCTTTTCAAAATCCAATTTAAGCACCAAGCCTTTTCTATTAGATCTTTTCCAACCATCCACTATTTCATTGGCTATCAAAATACCATCTAGTATATTTCTTCCCCCCAAAAAAGCTGACTGAGCTTCGCCAATAATCTTGGGCATTACTTGCTTCATCCTGTTCGCTAGCACTTTAGCAACAATTTTATACAAGGATCCGATCAAGCTAATAGGCCTATAATCATTCAAACAAGAAGGGCTTAAAACTTTGGGGATCAGAGCTATAAACGAGCTATTTAGCCCACAAACGAGCTTCGCATTCTGATGAAAATCGCTCATAAATTTTAGCACATCTACCCTCACAATTTTCCAACACTTTTTGAAAAATGACAAATTAAACCCATCAGGGCCAGGTGCCTTATTACCATCACAGCACTTGATAACATTTTTAATCTCCTGCTCTGTAAACTCTGCCTCCAATTGTGCCACAGCTTGAGCACCCCCTATGGTCTTGAAATGGCCAGCCAATTTGGGACGGACCTTCCAATTTTCTGAAAAAAAGCTTCATAAAATGAATCTTAACGGCCTCCCTAATTGCCAAAGGCTCCTCGAGCATTGAACCATTTATAGCAATTGAACACAAAGAATTTCTACTATTTCTGCTACATGCCATGATATGGAAGAACCTTGTATTTTTATCCCCTTTAGATGCCCAATTCATTCGAGATTTTTGTAGTCAAATCCACTCCAACATTTTGCGTAACCTCCACACTTCACCCCGCACTTCTTTTCTTCTATACAGTTCTGTATCGAGTAGTGGTCTATCCTCAGCTAACAAATCAAGAGCATGAGCCTCATCTTCTACACTTTTCAATTTTGATTCGATCTTACCAAACACCGCAACATTCCACTGTTTGAGGACCTGTTTCAGTGCTTTAAACTTCATAAGACATTTAAACCCTGCCCATCCATCCACAGCAGATTCCGACCAACTTTGTTGAACACAAGATAAAAATTTGGGATGTAGAAGCCAAGCATTGAGGAACCTAAAAGGCTTCGGGCCCCAATCCCTATCATCCTCCATCAAAATAATAGGGCAATGATCGGACAGAAATCTAGGAAGCCCCCATAGTTTAAAGGAAAAATTCTGCACCCACTCATAGTTGAGAAGAAATCGATCAATTCTGCTCCATTTCTCTCTAACTTGAGAATTGCACCAAGTAAACTTCCTCCCTAACATAGGAATGTCTATCAACTCGAGTTGTGCAATCATATTATTAAAGTCCCTCATCCCACGATCCCTTCTCGAACACCCAATTCTTTCGGAGATGTTCTTAATTTCATTAAAGTCACCCCCCATACACCATGGCCCCAAAAAATTGGATTTCAACCTCACTAACACATCCCAAGTCTCTTTTCTTTTAGCCACCTCGTTAGAACCATAGACGTTAATAATAACACAATCAAAATTGGAAAATAATGTACCTGATAAAAGGATGAAATTCTGGGTACTGCAGCAATCCTTCAGTCCAAACACCTCAGGGTTCCAAATACATAGTAGCCCTCCAGCTTGACCAATTGCGTCTACTGCCATGAAATCAAATTGCTCCCCAGGCCACATGGACCTAACCAAGGTAGAATCAACTACTGCCTTCTTGGTTTCTTGTAACAGCACAATGTCCACTTTTCTCTCTGCAAGACTCTTCTTTATTTGTCTCCTCTTTTCAGGCCTTCTAATTCCCCTCACATTCCATGATAGTATCTTCATAAGCAAATGAAAACCCTCTACCCAGCCGATCATTTTAATCTAACTCGCATCCCCTTCCCCCGGCCTTGCTCTTTGTTGGTCTTGAGCTTCAAGATCATGCAATTTACTAAGCACCTCCTCTTCTTTGCCTTCACACTCAAGGCCAAGGGCTTTGCCTATTTGAATTGAAGCTTCCGCCTCCGTCAATAATCTTCTTCCACTACTATTTCCGCTCACCATTGATAGTGAGATGGCCGCTACCGCCGACCTGAACACTGCTCCTTTCCTCAAATTCAATGAAGATGCCCCCAATCCCGTGGAAATATTAAATTTCCTTTTCATTTGCTGCTTCTGAAACTGTTTTGTTGAAGCTGGAAGTGCTTTTCCTTTCATTTTTTCCTTCTTTGCTGGACAGACGGGTGCTGTTGCATTATGGGCTAAAGAACTCTTAGAACCAGCAGTGTTACGGTTAACACACTGCTCAAGCCCTTCAGGAGAAGTAATTGGGTCTTGGGAGGTAGACTTGCCAAGGTGAACTAGCCTCTCAGATATTTGGGTCGGCCCAACCAAACCACCTGCCATTTGGGCCCCATCAAGAGCCACTTCAAGGTGAATACCCGGCCTATTATTTCCAGACCCACTTAAGCTTCTAATGAACCCAGGAGTATATACGTCACCATCTACCCTACGCCTGACACTATCATCACACTGCTCGCAGCTCATCCCTACCTCTGCCAATTGATTTACGCGTGCGCCACCTTCCGTTGACATTTCCTTCATCATATCAGTTTCAGCTACCCCTGAGACATCTCTCAGTCTATCCTCCCCGTCCAGTTCAGCTGCAAGAGTAGGTGATACAATAGTTCCCACTCCAGCCACATCACCCCGTAAATCTGACTTCTTGCCCAGCTGGACCTCCACATCATCCCGTAGTTCTGACTGTTTGTCCATCTGGACCTCCACATCATCATCTTCTTCCCCATACCTGCTGCTTTTGTCCGTGATCTGGGCCTCTGCACTTGCCTCTGAAAATGACCCCACTCCATTCTTCCCCTTATTGGATTGACATACACATTGATCCTGCAAAGTTTTAGAGGCTATAATTTGTTCCTCACACACCCGCACAGGATATAGTGTACCTTTGCACTCCAGATTAATGGTGTGATTAATTGAATCCATACTAGTCGTGGCTATCCTCACTTTACCACAGTGGAGGGAGTTGAGCCGAATAGTATCATCATCTATAGCATCCACTGTACCCCAGATCTTGCCAATGCTACTAAATGTAGAGAAACTCCATAGATTTAGTGGAACTCCATAACAACTTAGCCAAACATATCTTTCTTGTTCGAGCACCAGCCCCTGCCGCCATACCTGAGCTGATGCACACCATGCGTTAAGCCACTCTTGCATTTCCTGAAATTTGACGTTCATATCTTCAACTGAGGTGAAGGTTAGAACCATATCTCTTCCCCCACCCAGTCTCACCTTAACATCCCCAAAGCCTTGCCTTACTATTTCCTCCTTAAACTCAACCACTGATAATGATGGTTTTAATCTTACTACTACGCTTTCGTACAACCAACCATTACCTTCCTCAACAACATGAATAGTTCGGATAGCAACAGTTTGGGTACCTCTTCCTCTCACAACCTCAGCAAAGGACCTGGTCCTTTGACATCCAGCAGTAGCCATGAGACTGTCATTTGTAGCCATTCTTGTCTGTGGTGCTTGTCTCGACCTGGGCTTCGGACCAGACACCTTTTCAAACTCCGCCATTTTGACCTTCAATGCTCTGTCATCACACCAAAGCCCATGTGCTTTTTGTACTGCCATGTCCACTGCTACAGAGCAATTGTAGCGTACAAAGCCAAAACGAGATCGTGTCATCCTTCTTCGCTTGTTTGGAATAAAAGCATCCATGACTACCCCATAGTTGGAGAAGAGATTGTATAACCCTCTAGTCCCCATAGCTTCTGGAATATTGTCCACGAAAACAGAATAGATGGCTGTGTCTGCCCTGCTGCTCCACACTCCCCTGCCACCATGACGACGGACCACTGGTTGCCATCCACCTCCATCATTCCCATAACCATGCTGTTTGCCTTCTCGGGACATTTTTCAATACATAAACTTTTGAGATTTTATGTATTCAACAAAACCTTCTGTATTTTCAAAATCAGATTTGAAAGAGGAATTTCCAACACAATCCAACAATATATATACACATCCACAATCCTTCTCAAAAATTTATTTGAAAAACCCCTCTTTTACTTTTCAACCTCAAACCTTAGGTTTAACCCAAAACCCCCAAATCACTAAACACTTTTCAAAGAGCAAATAACTAAGCTAAGAATCATGCAAAAGGTTGAAGAAATCCCCACCTCAAGTCTAGAATATGAAGAAAACAAGGGTTGAAATTGATGGAGCCAAAAACAAGATCCTTTCCGATTAGAATGAAACTTTTGACGAGCTCTACCTTTTTCTCCAAAAAGCTATGGTAGAGACTCAAAGGAATGCATGTTGATAATGCAGGTTGTTATGTGTAATGTGAAATGCCTCTTGAAAGAAATGGGATTGACCGGTAATGGGTCAGATTGTTTAATATTATGTTGTAGCATTGTTGAGAATGGAGAAAACCTGTTTTTGAAAAACTTGTGTTTAATTTCGGGGACGAAATTCTTTAAGGGGGGAGGTTATAGCGATCCCGGTTGTCCCTTTACTGTTCTGTTGTATTCCGGACTCGGTTCCGTGATGTTGGTGGTGGTATACCTTGCTGTCATCCTTTAATTCTGCTTGATTGAGTTTTAGGATGTATTGGGCAGAGTTGTTACAGGTTGGTTGGGCTTTGGTTTCAATTCTTTGTTGCCCAGTTTTTAGGAGGTCCGCTCGAGCGGGTCTTCTTGCACTCGAGCGGATATTGCACACTCCCAGTATTTTGATGCTCTGCAGAACTTCTGCAAGCATGTTTTTCACGCTCGAGCGGGTTTCTTTACGCTCGAGCGGTGGCGCTCGAGCGGGTAGTACTTTTTGGTGTAAGTTCTGGGAGGGGAAAATCTACGCTCGAGCGGACTGGTTTTCGCGCTCGAGCGGATGTACTTTATTCCTGTGTCTTGGCGCTCGAGCGTACCTAGTTTTTTGTTCTTGACGCTCGAACGTTGTGTTCTCCGCTCGAGCGAGAATGTCGTATATCAGTTGGCATCTGGGCATTTTAAAATCACTTTTTACATTCTCTCTCTCACTCTCTTACTTTCTAAAAAGACATTTTGAGAGTTCCTCTCTTTAGAAACTCCCTTCTCTCTAGGTTTTGATCTAGTTAGAGTGTTTCATTTTCCTTCGGCCTTTGTAAAAGTTGGGTTGATCGTCGAGAGCTACACTTTGATCCGAGAATATTGAGCTTTGGAGCACGTTGAGTTTCTTCATCTTCTTCCCTTGAGCTCCGATTTTTGAGGTAGGGATTCCTACTCACTCTTATGGTCTTTGACATAGATTTTTGGTTGTTTTGATAAAGTGTTGAAGTTGGATAATTTTGGGACTTAGGGTTTCGAAATGTTAAAAGAGGGTTTTGTTATTTTGATTCCATGAATGTGTATTATGAGTTTCAAAATAATGATATTGTCTTGGTTGTTGATATATAGACCATTGGGTCAATATTGGGAAATAGGGTAGAAAACCCTAATTGGTTGTATAAATTAATTGGTATGATTAATTTGGGAAAATTGTGGTTATATGGAATTGAGTTGGAAATAATGAAATTGACTCATTATATAGTAGAATAGTGGAGTTGGATTTGTTAATCGCTCACTTTTGAAAACATTGATATTTTATCTGTTGGAGCTTTTATTAGCTGCCTAGAAATAATTGCTTGGACTACCGGTGGAGGGTAGTTTCGATTGTTGTAGACAATGCATGATGATTAGGCAAACTAAAACTAATCAATTGGATATGTCATAGAGTATGACGGTTGATAGAATACATTAACGTTATGTATTGATTGATTGTGTATATGACCTATGTGTATATACGTTGTGTGTATGGGAGGAGATAGGGGATGTACTCCACAGTTTAGGGGAAAATAGGGGATGGACCTCTAAACTGGATGTTGTTTGGGAGGAGATAGGGGATGGACTCCACTGATACAGCTCATATGCTTGTCAGTTAATGTGTTGATACAGCTTATATGCTTATCTATGGAAGTGTTGATACAGCTCATATGCTTATATTTGGAAGTGTTGATATAGCTAATATGCATATCTGTTGAAATGTGGATACAACTTGTATGCTTATCTGTTGAAATGTTGATACAACTAGTATGTTTGTCTATTGCAAAATGGGAAATGTCTAATATGAGTCACTGTCTCATATAAGTGGTTGGCTAGGTTTTGAGCCGTTGATGTAAATTGTGAAATTGATAAGAAATGGAAATTGAAATGAAACATGAACATAGTGGTCATGAAATGGAAATGGATTATGAATTGATTTATGGAACTTGAACATTTATCAATTGCTAACGTCTTAGTTATGGCTCATACTGTGTTTAGCATATTTCTACTAGGCATTGGCTCACCCTATATGAGACATCATTTTTAGGTACAGGTAGTATACCACCTCCAAGGACATAGCTTGGATGATGATGAGAGTTGAAGACTCTTTTGTTTCTTTTGTTTGTATTACATGTATATCAAGCCAAGGGCTTATTTTGTATAGAGTTAGTACTCTTCTTTTGTGTAACCAAGTGTTGACTTGGAAAACTGTAAGCCCATAGGGCATTTGCTTTTGTTGTTAACATATAATACAGTTGTAAGGATTACTCTGATGAATAGAAATGGTTGGTTTCTTTTATATCAATGCATGTCTAAAGTGATGGGTTTTATGTATTTTTTTTGAGGGCGTTACACATAGGTGTAGGCTCTGCAATTTATTGAACCCCACACCCATGTGAGACATTTGGTTATTTGTTTGGTAGAAAATTTGAGGTTTATAACATTTTCCCATATTAATATCAAGCGATACCATTATCTATGTAATGCTCACAATTAATAAGTAAAAATTTT